GGTTTTTTTTTTTGTTTTTTTTTTGTTTTTTTTTTACTTTTGGATCTGCTGAGGAAGAACCAAAAGACAGAGATGATGCTCCATACGCATGCGCCCTCATGCCATGAGTGGCCAAGGCGTGTCACCTAAGGAGTCTCCTAACATGAATTGTTTCAACTCAGCAATCCTTATTTCAGAGTTTACAGCGCCCAACCAGCCTGATGCTAAATTATGACTGAGACTACCATGAAAAGAACAATACCACTTACCACTGTCTATTGCATTACATCACAGCAGAGAACACAGAACTTCCAGGGTTCCTAAAAGATTATCAACACAACTCCTTTATTTCATATACCAAAAAAAAAAAAAAAAAAAAAAAAAAAAAAACTGATTCATTCAAGGTCAGTTATTGGACAATCAAGGCTTAAACCTCAATCCTGTGTGCCTGGAACAAGGCAATCTTGTTTCTAAATGCAAAAGAAAGGTGATAACTTACTTGCTATATTCTTTTGAGGAACCAGCTTAGTACCTCATAGAATCAAACTGTTCCTTGGAAGTTTTGAGTTTTCCTTCCCATAATGTAATTTCATAACAAGGAATTTTCTCATTAAAAACATAAAAGTATAGTGTAATGTTAAATATGCTTTTCCAACTTCTAACATTCCTAGAGAATTAGGCCTATTGAGAACAAATGGTTTATAGCAGGGGTGTCCAATTTGTGGTCTGCCTTTTTCATTGCCCACTTTTAATGTAACAGTCTAATAAAAATGTTTTGAAAAGTTTTGCTACTTGTATACAGATAACTATATTATATATTCTAGATGCAGCCTACGAGAAACACTCTTTACTCACTGCAGCCTGGGCAAGCCAAGTGTGTCCAACTAGGGGCTGCAGGTTGGATACACCTGGTAGTGAGACAGACAAACAGTAACTTTGCAAATCCAGAGAGGAGTCCAGCTGGAAGGGGCACTTAATCCTGTTCTAAAAGGGCAAGGAAGGTATCCAAAAGGTAAAACATGGAGCTATGCTGGGCCTGGGAGGAGTAATAAGTCACTTTGCCCTTCCAAGAGCCAACGAGCATGCAAGCTGGGCGACAAGAACAATCCCCTACCCCTATAAGCAACCTGCTGATTCAAAGGACAGGTTGAGTTGATACCACACAAACAACTTAATGCTTGTATTGTTTGATTGACTTTGCAGGCCTAAGGCCAGTAGTCTGGGCATCTATTAAGAGGATAGCAATATGCAACATAACAAATATGGGGGATTTTCTTCTGTCTTGTTTTGAAATCCAATATTGTTCTCACTGTTTTGTTCCATTTTATTGTTTTGTTTTATTCAGTGTTCTGTTTTAATGTGGTTTTATTCTGTTCTGTTTTGTTTAATTTTATTATGTCTGATGGCATGAGCAGCTATTTTGAAGATAACAAGAGGCATTATGGTAGCCATCGTTAATTTCTTATTATCTTGTTTTGAAGTCCTGTGTTGCTTTCATTGTTCTGTTCTGATTAGCTTTATTCTGTTTTGTCTGGTTTTATTCTCTTTAGAATAAAAAAAAAATTAAACATGGATAAGCAGAGGCTATGGGGGAGTTAGGCAGGCTGGGGAAGGAGGATTTTCCAGACCAAGTGAATTATGGGCTAAAAGGGCCCACAAGCAGAGAAGGAATAAAGTCCAGGGAACTTCTAGTGTGGCTAGTAGCTAGTGTGTCATGGTGTGGCAAGGGGTAACTTATGTTCCTTGAATGACCAATTTCAGCAACTTCACTCAAGTAAACACAACATAGTACAAGCAGCATACTTGCCATGCAAGAGCAGCTTCACAATACATGTTCCCCAGCCCCACCCCACCTACATATTGATTAAAAGGTCATACACAGTGTAGCTAAGGGGTGTACAGTGAAGGAAGCAATGCACTGAAACTTACCAGTAAGTCACTGTCTGTCTGGCTCCCCACAGAGGTCAGCTGGCCCCACTCTGGGTAATCTCTAAGGTCCCTTTGGCCTGCTGGCTAGAATGCCACGGTGAACCCCCACCATAGTTATGGTCCTAAGAAGATCAAATGCAGAGATTTGTAGGCCAATAGAAAGGCTCAGGCTGTTCAGCAGCCAGTCCTCCCCTGACCCACCAACTCCATTATCATTTTGAAAAAGGCAAGGTCATCTAATCGCAGTGTTTCCTGTCACAGAAAGCCTGCACAGAAAGTTCATCAACAATGATCACTGCAAAATGAATTCATACATTCAGGATCAGGGCTTTTTTTCAGGCTTCGAAATACATCATAATTATGGAGACCTCCTCCTAAAGGCACGTCGCTTGCAGGCCCCTCCCACTGAGATTCTAATTCAGCAAGAGTGGAGATTGAAGTTGCCAGTTGCACCGGGTCCTCTAGAGATTCTGGGGAGATTTTCACTGGAGGGGGTCAGGAGACAAAACCTGAATCTAATCACTGGGAATGAGGGTAAAGGCATGCAGGGGCATCATCTAGTTAGCAGGGTATGAACTTCAGGTGCTTTCGTGGGACCTAAGTCAACAGGAAAGGGGGAGGGGCTAGTTGTAAGTGGGTCTACATGCAGGGAGGGCGCTATGCTGATACACTCATTTAATAAATATTTACTTGCACCCATATGGATCAAGTGCTGGGGGTGAGGGAAGTAAACAAGAGAAATGAAGTCTGTGTCCTCGTACTGACACGCCCTCTTACAACTGTCCCTACCTACCTGGTAAAAGTGCTGTGGTTGCTTCAGAAAGCCGTAGCCCAGAACGCCCCAGCAATTCCATGGAAGGGAGGCGCTCTGCCACAAGCAGCAGGAGAATGAGACCAAGGCAAGACCTCCAAGGGGACCTGCAGCTGCAACTGAAGACTTTCTCAGTCATTGAGAAGCACTGCAGAGCACACTGGTGTGTGTGTGTGGGGGGGGTCCTTACATTCCATGGTTTGTGGATGGGACCAACAGTCTTTCCAGAAAACCAAATGGCAATATCCCCAATAAAAAGTGTTCTATTAGGCACGTCGTGCTGCCGCTGCTCCCATTTGTCACTTTTGGACAAGCAGGTGTCCTGCCCAATCTTCATAAAGCACCTTTTGAGTGGTATCACCCTGTTACCCCGGGACCAAACTCAAGCACAAGGCGTTTGAGACCCTGTATACTTAAGAACTTGCCTACTTTAATGTTTCCTCTTCAAACTTTACTCAGTTTTTGGTACTGGGGATCGAACTCATGACCTTGTGCTCCCCTCGAACTTTAATAGTTATCCTTTCTGTTGGCAACCCCTGGAAACTTCCTACCCGTTTCACTGGGTCCGGTTTAAATGCTACCTCTTCCAGAAGATATACCCCTCTTAGCAAGGAAAGCCTCTGTCTTCTGAATTCTGCACAGTCCTTGGGTGGTTTTCTATTAGTGATTTCTCGCCTACATAATTCATCTTCAAAGTCAGGATCTGCTCTTTGTATATTATTTTTGTGCTTTTTTTTATATCACTTCTTAGGACCTAACACAGTGCCTCCATATTTATGGAGTAGAATATCAAGTTTCTATTCCATTAGGGACTTATTTTTACATTACTGTATTGGTAAACTTCAGATTTACTCCAGAGACCATGATAATGAAGCAGAAACTATTCTGAAGTGAACATCAAGGCAAGGTTTTACTAATCAACCTGTAATATTTTATGCACTGCCTTTGGGAGACTTGAGATTTGGGCTTTTTAATTTCCACCCAACTCCTTCACCCCCACCCCAACTCTCCACCTCCTTTAACAGCTGCCCTGCACTAGGAGCTTCACTTCCAGATTCTTCCCACCCTTATCCACCTCTGTACTTTTTCAGGCCAGAGAAGGTAAATCTTTTACCACTCTTGCTTGTAAAGTGCATTCTTCTGGCAACCTCTGGAATTCTTAGGCTACCCTAATATCCAGTGCTTACCTTGAGTCATGAGTTCAATGCATTTATAATGAATACAAGAACTGTGCTATTTAGATAAATTCCAAGTACATGACTGTAATTTCCAGCTCAAATAGAGATTCTATAGGCTGATTTCTAGTCTGATATATTTTGCCAGTTATGGTAAAATATTGTGGACTTTAATGATTTACTGATTTTTTTTTAAGAGAAGGAAGAACACTTAATACTGGTAGGTGCCAGGCACTGTGCTGGACGCTTGAAATCTAGACATCTGATACCCACAATGACCTTAGCAGATCACACTTCCATTTTACAGGTGAAAAAGTGAGTTTGATGGGTATCAAGGGACTTGTCCAAAGTCATACAGTTAATGTGTAGAGTTAGGAGCCCAATACTGATCCTTTGAACACAAATGCCATACTGAGTTATACCATGCTGCAGCCTTAAATAAAACCTAATCGGTCTGACGAATTGGTCTTCCGTATCAGAATACATCACCAGAGATGTAACCTTGGAGAAGGTAACTCTTCACATTCGAAGCAAAAGGGAGCACCATTGGGTCACCAGGAACCCCATCTTAAGATCGCAAATGGTTTTCCTAAAGAACTGAGTGATCCACTATCTGGTACTTGTCATTAATCACCCAAATCATCAAACATTTTGCAAAATAAATCACACCTTCAAATATATTACTTCCATAGTTGCTTTCAAGAAATTAGCTACATGGTACAGTGGAGTATAAACACTTGTGATTACACAAAGTTATTGTTACAGTTTGGTCCAAATGTAAGTGAATTGGCAAAGACCAATTAAAGTCAATTAAAATATCCTACGACCAAATAAACACCTCCTTCCCTTTTAAGAATTTAAGGAGATCACATTGTCTCATTCAACAAATATTTATTGAGCACCGTAACTTGGTAGGTGCTAAGAGATGGTGTATAACTGTCAATAAAGCTACTGGTCTGACCAGAAACTTATGCTTTAAATGATCTTGGTAACTGCTACATAATAGTTGATGCTCTCTAATAAATTTTATTTATATATATATATATTTTATATATATATATGTACTTTTTTAGAGTCATATGAGGCCTCTTTTGGAATAAAGTCTCTTTTTGGTAAACTTCACAGAAATGTTTAATTTAGGGAAAGAAGAATCTCAGTGTCCTTTCTTCAAGCACACTGAAAGTCCCTTAGCTCTCAAGCAACATCGCAGTTGGCCACCAAAGAGGCAGGTTAGACCATTCGGTTGCGCTTGTGGGACGGGGAGTCTGTGAAGCAGTCGCCGAGCTGGGTCGAGGGGCGCTTTCGGATACCCCCACTGTCCAGGTGAAGACCCAGTTCTTCTGAGCCGAAGCGGTTCAGGTCGTCCTCGAGGAAGCTGCTTTGCGTGCGCCCACCGCAGGCGACACCGCTGCCTTGGGGCGGGGAGCCGGGCGCCCCTGTTGGCACGCCGACGCTCGCCGCAGCGCCATCTAGGCCATGCAGCGCGGCGGCCTCGTGGAAGAGCTGCAGGTCGACGTCCACAGAGGGGTTGGACTCGGTGACAGCAGCCTGGCCGGCGGCACCGGCAGGTGGCTTCGGGGGCGTCCTGGGGGCGCGCGGCGGTGGCGCCTCGGGGGGCGCTTTGCCGCAGAGGAAGCTGATGAGGTCTTCGCGGCGGATGGTGCTGCGGCCCTTCTTGGCCCACTCCAGCACGTCCCCGACGCGACGGCGGCAGCCCACCTGGACGCCCAGGTCCAGACAGCGGCGGCGAGCGTCGTCCCCGCTCTCCTTGTACAGGTCGGTCACGGCCATGGCAGCCCTCTGGAAGGGGTCCCACACGGACTGTTCCGGCTGCTGGCACTCCGAGTCCTGGTAGAGCTGGGCCACGGCGTTGGCGGCGAGCTGGAAGAGGTGCCACACCCGCTGCAGCTCGCCGCGGATCCCCTCAGCCTCGGCGGTCGCCTCCGCCTGCTGCTCCGGGGGCAGCGTCTCGCCCTGCTCGGCCTCGGCCTCGGCCAGGCACTGGCGCTCCCACTTGGACAACCAGGGCTCGGAGACTTCGGCGTCTCCCTCCGGCGGCGGTCCCTCCATCCTCCTGCGCCTCCTGCTGCTGCTCTGGGCCGCGCGCCTCACCTCACTCCCGGCGCCCCTCCTGCTACCGTGCCCGCAGCCGCCCCTGCAACCGCCGTCGCCGCCTACTCAACGTGCGCCGCCGGACGGGGGCGGGGCCCTGAGGGTAACGGCTGCAGCCCGCGCGCCGCCCCAGGCCAGGAGCACGCCCGGCCCCGCCCGCCCCGTCCGCCCCGTCCCACCGCCCGCCCCCCACTCGGGCCCGCTCGGGCCCGCTCGGCCTCGCTCGGCCCGGCCCGGCCCGCGGCGAGAGCCCCCAGCCACCGGCGCCGCGGCGCTGCCCCCTTTCGGCCCCGCGGTGCGCTTCCCCTGCCCCATACACACCGCGCCCTGGCCTCGCTGCCGGTCCTCGCCGCCGCCGCCTTGACAGCCGGAGGGCCCGGCCTCGGCGCTGTCTCGCCCGGCCCCCTTTTCACACATTTCGGGGACTCGTCGGCGTCATCCAGTGAGCTGAACAAATGTGCCACCTTATGTTGTCAGAGAGGATTATGGTGCAACTCGTGGGTGCGGTTGTCATCCAAGGCGCCGGCGGGAGGCCAGAGGGCACAGTGCAAAGACCGTGGCCCTCCATCTGGGCAGGTGGAGAGGTCCACAGCGGTGTCGCCCACAGTGGTGGTGTCCGTGGACCGAAGTGGTGTTTTGAGGAAGGGGACCGGGAGAAGCCCCATCGGGAAAAGTGCACATCCTCCCCGCCTTCTTCGGCCTCAGTTTCCCCAAGTTCCCAATAACGTTGGACTAGGTCTCTAGAAAGTACTTGAAGTCCACTACCGTCCCTGAAAAGTACCTCTTCAAGGCTAGTTGTATACTTATTGTATTCTAAGAGCAACAGTTAGAAGGGTATTGATCCTCCACCCTGTATTCTTGCAATGGTTTTTGTCATTAAAAAGGAAGTCAGTGGAGGAGAAGTTCTGAGCAATCTACCGTCAAATACAGAACATCCAAGATGGGGTAGGGAGAGAAAAGGGGATGGAGGAAGGAAAACTCAAACACATTTTTCTGTCCTGCCTTTTTCGAAAGCAAGCAAGAAACAAAATAATAGGATTTCTAACATCCTAAACACTTAGCTAGTTAAAATATCAAAATGATACCAGAATTAAGCTTAAAAGGCATAGGGAACTAACGATCTTTTCCCTGGGTTCAATAAGGAATCCATTATAATGATGCAGTCCTCTTTTAGTGCAGACAGTTCTACAACAAAATGTGTTAAAAGAACAAAAATCATCCCTGAGCTCAGAATAATCAAATGGGGGAGGAACTGACCTGTAATCACTTCTTAAATTTAAAGGAAAAAGTTAGAATTCTGCACGTTATGTTGCAGAATATCTAGAAAACCTTAAAAAGATAAATCTTGTAACAAAATGTTTAATAATTCCTGTGTGAAAATTAGTATGTAAAACGATGATTATTAGCTGATCATCTTCATTAAAAGAAAATATATGTTCAAGTTAAATTTACAAGAGGAGAGGGAGGAAAGAAGGAAGGAGAGATCCAAGAAAGGAGAAAGAGAAGGAGGAGGAGGAAAAAAAGAAGGAAAAGGAGGAGGGGGAAAGGGAGGGGACAGGATGGGAGAAGAAGATGGAGAAGGAGAAGGAAAAGAAGGAGAAGAAGGAGAGGGAGAAAGAGAAAAAGAGATCGTGCCCTTTCTTTGCAAACTGGGCTTTTTCACGTTTCATTAAACCCTTTTTCCATATGTGTAATTGGACTCTTCTCATTTACATAAACGAAGGATGAGGTGAAAGAGCCAAAATCAACCCAAAAGGAGAGAGATGTTTCTCTTTGTCCTATGTCAAATATATAAGTGTAAAGATAAAGTAAGCTCCAGGAAACGGAGTCCCCTTTCTCACCACCCACCCTACCAGACCTGAAATGAATCCTGGCCAGGGACCCAGGGCTTTGTCCACCTTTGAGCACTGCCCTTCACGTAGTATGCTGCAGTTCTGATCAGAGGCACATATTTTTATTTTACTTTCTCTAAGTAAAAAGCTTGGCCTGAAATGACTGACAGTAGGACACCATATCCTACTTTCTCCCCTCACCTCTGATTGGGTTAAACTTAAAAAGAAAGACTGCACTGTCTTTGTAAAGAGCACAGCACTCTGCTTGGGCTCTCCTTGTCTGGCTGGTATCCTCCATTCAGTTGGTTTCAGCACCTGATTAATTAGTTAATTAGTACTTAGAGCTGACTAGCCCCTGCTCGGTAATTTTCATGCCCTGCATGGTGAAATGTTGAATACAGCGTTGAAATTTCTGTCGCACACACTAATTATTATCACCCCACTACTTTTAAAGACATTGCGCCAAATTAATATTATAGACAGAGCCAGACAAACTCTGTGGGAATATGCTCTTTCTGAGAAATAAAGGCGGACTTAATATTTTTCACTGTTGCCCTTACCACATTTAAATAAAACAATGAAATGAAAAAGATTCTAATTCAATTAACCTCCAACCCCTTCCATTGAGAAAATAAGGTTATACGGGAGAGATGTGAGAAGAGTTACACCAAATATTTTTTTAATGTTTTACCAGCTCCCCACATGGTAGCACGAGTTTACAAGGTGTATCCTGAGATTAGCTTTCTTCCTATAAAAGTCTAACATGTCAGGAATTTTTAAAAAAGATACAAAAAGTCATTCTTTATTAACTATAAGTAAATAATGCTATCTATGTGGGGGGCACCTGATGTTCAAATAAACTGACACAGCTTAGAACGAGTTCTCTATAGCAAAAAATATTCCTTGGCCAACGATCCATTCGTCCATAAATCTGTTGTCATGTCTAACACTGGACATTAACTAGGGAAAAATAGAACTAGAAAATAAGTTAAGACACAAACGTAGAAGAGTCTAGTTTTTAGCAATTTTCAACATACCATTGTGGAAAGGAGACCGGCTTGTCAGTTCTTTCCAAAATTATCAGTAGTTATTTTCACCTGATAACAATCCTTATATCTCAGTACTGTGGGTAGCCTGTAATTGTAAGAGCTAAATGGTACACAAAACTGGATACACAACCACACAGACCAGTAAATGGGTCGGACTGAAAGCAAAAGTAAACACCAACCTTAGGAAATGAAAGAAGTTAAAAGATAAGTGTTAAGGACCTTATTCTTTTTGGAGAATAAAACAAGATTTAGTAGCTTTCCACTTAATTTAAATGAAAAGAATCACTACCTTACATATTGCAGTGATAATGTAATGGGGAAAGAAAACAAAAAAGTCTTTGTACAAATGACACCTCCTATAGTTGTTGTGAAGAAACTTTTCCCCTTGGTATCTGCTAACAAATTCTAATTAATGCTGCACATTCCTTTACTGAAATCATTTAATGCGTAACAAGGGGGGTAAAAAGAAATGCTGAATGCTCGTGATTGCCCTGTTAGAATTATGGGAGTGAAAGCCTGAGGCCCCAAACTTACTGTCTATTAAAGCCAAGCTTTGAAAAAGAAATGCAACCTACAAAAGCTGTCAATCTCCCTTGCCCCTAAAGCCTGGGTTCACATGGATTCAAGTGACAGCCCTCCTCCCCCATGCACAATACATCAATCTGTCTCTCCCACAAGCACCCACAGCCCATTGTGCTGGCCGCAGGTGCCTATTATGGCACCCATGGCTGCCTCCCACGGCTCCGCCCCTGAGAAACAGGAACTGCAGACAATGGAGCCCTGTGGGAAGGCAGAGGTGGGTGTTGGGAGGGATAACAGACAGATGGTAAAGGGTCTAGGGTAGTAAGGTAGTTTCAAAACAAATGTCAAACACTCAAAATTGTTGCTTTCGTGCGCCCCCTCCCCGTTTTGAATTGCTTTTGCTTCAATCACCATCTGCCATTATTATAAAAGCACTTACCTGTCAGGAGGGGTATTTGCTCCCCTTTGGGGGCAGCAGCAGAGGGAATGACCTTCAGTACTCTGCAGCTCCTCTTGGGGCTCTAGGTTTCTCAAGGTCACAGACTGAGGGGTTTCTGTTAAGCGACACCAGTAGATCACACAGGGGAAGAAAAGAATACTTCAGATTTTGCTCAAGGTTTATGGTTTGCTTTCAAGCTTAGTTTGGGGCTCTGAACGGTAGCAGGGGTTATAAACATTGGTTACTTTGGGAACTTATTTGTGAAATCCAAGTGCCAGGAGACTTCTTACAAATACCATACCAAGCTGATAGAAAATTGTAGGCCAGTTCTTTTCTGATAAGACAAGAAGAACAGGAAAATGAGATGAATTTAGTAACAAAACTACTGAAGGTCTCTGACTCAGCTTCTTTTCCTATCTCAAAATGTCAAAATTAACAAAATTATATCTAGATACTGTTCACTTCGAGTGCCATTATCAGAGAATCCATTCCAAGTGTTTCATGTGGTAAAATGACTCCTTTATGTAGTTTTAAATCTTCTTAGTTCTGGACTAATTAAGAAGCACAAAGTGGAAGAGTTAAAATATATACCAAATTCTGTATACATTATATATTAGTTCAAATAATCTTAGTTGTTTTTACCATTTATGGTCATCTCATTATACTGCCTGTTCGCGATTTCAAAATAATTTGCCAAAATAAAAGCCAAATTAACAATAATTTTACCACTAGCATTACTACCTGTCTCAACCAAATGGTGGCCAAGAAAAACCTGGCACAACTGTAAGTCATGGTCAACACAATTGGTAACTTGTCGGAATGAGGATGCCTACAGAATAATGCCAGGCACTAAAACCAGCCAGTTTTCCTGAAGTAAACAAGAGGGTCTTGGTTTGCTGTCAAATACCACAAACTGGGCTTTAACTAGAAACTGTCAGAGATCCAAGTGAGCTCCTGGCCAAGGAAAGCTTAATTAGCAGAGTTGGTTTGGGTTTTTAAATTATACAAGAAAAACAATCAATACAGTATGAAAGCATACAGTAGTCTAATGTTGCACAAAACCCACTACTTCATTGTACATGTATAGTGATTTTGCACATTCCATTACAATGTAAATTTAGATCTTAAACATTTTTGTGCTCATTATTAGAGTACATTTCTTATGTATTCTTTGCAGATTTTTACGTATTTATCACCAAATACAAATATGCAT